ACGCCACCGAAAGCTTACATCTCTCCCCGATCCAAACTGATTGAACCTTTTTTTAACAAGTAAGCGTCTTGATTCCTTAAATTTTTTTTTAGATAATTTTAGTTGCATCATTTTCTAACTTCATTTTTTGGTTTACACTTTTAGGCTCTTCCTGATGAGGATTATTGACATACCCTACCTCAACATTACAGGACCAGACTGTAAGTCAACTAAATTAAACTAAATTTTCCCTCAGTCTCTCCATTTAAAACAAAATAATAAAAAATAAATAAAATCTATAATAACTACAACTTATTTTGCAAAGTAAAGAATCAACCAACAAAATCATTTTGTATAAGTGTTTCAGCATTACTTTTTTTTTTTATATCTTAAGATCTAAGGATGGATGGATGAAGTTCTAAGGTTAAAAAGGATTTTTTTCCCATCATAAAATGGAGTAAATGTTTTAAAGCTCTGTGGGAGGTGATGTAGAATTAAACCAGAAAAGGTCTCCTGGGGAAATGCTGTGCTGAACGGGTGCAAACATCCTTATAACTGACTCAGTCTCAGGACAAGGGTTGCACAGTAGGCTCCACCAGAGTTTGAAGTATTAAGCAATCTTTGTTTTTGCCCATTTGGTAAAAAACATTAATCTATTTAGTGTTTTGATGGTTGGGATCCATCTGCCTATGAAGTGTGTAGTTTAAATTTCTTACACAATTAACAGTGTCGCATTTTAAAGGGAACAAAACGGGTTATAATCTGTAACATTTGCTGCAGTCTGGAGACTCGGTGTATTCTCTTTATGAGTTCGTATGAAATCGTACGAAAAGTTATGCACCGTAACTTCGTAAGTTTTTTTCGTCGTATGCGCATCTGACGCACCATTCACGTATATAGACTATAAATTACAATTAGCCCTAACCCTGACCCTAACCCTAAGATATAAAACAGCAAGCAACGTAGTTAGAGACATGAATAAGTGATGATTGCACTGTTTTTCCCAGTTTTACGTCCGTCCGTGGATCTGCTTTTCTTTTCTGTCTGCCAGCGCATGCGCACTGATGTGGTTTTTTGAGGAAAAACATCCAAAACGTACGAAATAGTGTGCATAACTTTTCGTACGTTTTCATACGAACTGATAATGAGAATACGTTGGGAGACTTTGTTTTATAAGAATGAGCATCAGACCTCAGCTTGTCAGACCGGATAAAGTTGTTTAATTAGTATAAATACATTTTGAAATCTCAAATACAATTTTGCAAAAATGATCAAATATTTTAAAAATGGAAGCTCAATCATTTGCTGATGGCCTTAATGTCTTTTTAACACTCCAGAGCACCGTTATTCCAAGAAACAGCTTTAACAAAGTTCTACCTTTTAAAAGTCGATGTATAAATGGCTGGATGTTGTGTTGTGAACATTTTGTAATCTTCACACCATAATTTAGTATCTTAACCGTCCAACAGTGCAACCCAAAAGAGACCACGTCCTGTATGTGACCTTCCCTAAGGAATGGAAGACTAGTGACCTCTACCAGCTCTTCAGTGCCTTTGGTAAGACATTAGAACACACATTTGTTCTGCCTTAAAACAAATCCTACCCTTTTTTATGCTCCCTGTTGGTTGTTTTATGCACTCAGGTAACATCCAGGTGTCTTGGATCGATGACACCTCAGCCTTTGTCTCTCTAAGTCAGACAGACCAGGTGCAGATCGGTAAGTTTCACACACCAGTCCAAGCCAGACAGGAGAGACAAATGTTTACAAATCGAATTGATGGAACGTCTGTTCTGACAGCTATGAACACCAGCCGCTACGCAGAGAGCTACAAGATCCAGACATATGCAGACTACATCCAGGGTAAACAGCAGGAGAAGGAAAAGCTTGGCCAGTCAGCCAAGAGCTGGGGAGAGGATTGCTGGGTGAGACCTCACTACTCCTCCTCCACTGGATTTGGGTATCCCAGGTAGGTTGCACACTTTTTTGTTTTTTCTTCTCTCCACGTTATCAGCATTGTATCAGTGGGTTTTCTTTCTTGCTCTGAGCTTTGGATGCAGTGTTGCAGATTTTTTCAAATCTTTTCCAGGAGGAAACGCAGCATCAGTCCAATTCAGGGAGAGCAAGGAGGTGAAGGCGCTCCCACCTGCGACGGCTGGAACAACTACTCTTTCCCTGAAGGCACTGGAAGCAAAAAGATGAAATTTGAAGGTCCGTAGATTATGCATATATTAATAGGGGCATGGCAGACTTTTATTCAACATATTGCTGTATAATTATTCCTAATCTAAACATTAATTGCACTGACTGTCCTTTAGATCTTGGTGGAAAGGCAAATGTTGAAGCTGTGGAGAGCAAGACCTCAGAAGGCTGGCTAAAGATGACGTAAGTGAAAACCTATCTCCTATTCAGTTTGCCCTCTGATGTGCTTTATCCTTTGTTTGTAACTGTCCTCTGCAGAGAGTCATCGTATTCAGCCGAATCAAGTCCTGTCCCAGATACCAAAAGTCCTGAGGGCACAGATCCAGGTAGCTGTGCTGATGGGACAGCCACTTGGCATCAAACTCCAACCGTTCAAGGAAGGAAAGGTCAAAAAAGCAAGAAAAAGAAGTCAGATGGTGTGTTTTTGGTTAGCATAGTTTCATAAAGGGCTCAGTGTTAACTGTTGGGGGGGTATGAATTATATATTGAGAAATAATGAATAGGAACATTTTTCATTGACTTCTATTTATTGTTTTCACCCATTAGTTTTCATATCAATAGGATCACCTCACAGCACAAAATCAAATGTAAACTGAATTTAGGATAAATTATAAATTGATTCTTTTTGCTGCTTCACAAAAACTAATGAGCCAGAATTACTTGAATGATAAAAAGTAGTAAAGTAAAAATGAACTGAAATCGCATCTGTTCAGAACCAAATCAGTATCTATCCCTGAGTTTCAGCTCTGTCATAAAAACCATAAATTAATCCTGAGATTCATGACCTGGGTTTGCTTTGGATGTAAAACAGAAAGTAGTTGTAGTAAAACCCAAACAGGTAAAATTTTGTGGTGTAATATTAAAAAGTTTGGAATGTGAAACAGTTTTTCAAGCTGGATGAAACCTGTAATCTAAAATGTAATAGAACATGTAGTCTATACTAATTAATAGTAATAAAGTATAGTTTACTATATGTAATATTCTGAAATTTGTTGAAAAGCATAAAGTTTGACTCTGAACCTTGTGGGAATCCTGAAGTTATGTGACATGTTAATGAAGTAGAAGCACTTGAAAATGTTTACCATTTCTTTCCAGCGTCTGAATCTACAACCTCCCTGTTCGAAGTCCCAGAAGTCTGGTGAAACAGCGAGGTCGCTGTCCCGCCCTGGGCTCTCCTTCAGGATCATAAAGCACAGACTGCAGCACGCCCCAACTTCATGCTCTCATACAGCACTAATGGATAAAGACTCCAAAGCTACCAGCCAAGACATTTAAACACGTTTGAAAGAGAAAACACAAGCCATAACAGCAGCTGCCATATTCTGATCTATCAGAGGAGCAGGCACCTCCTCATACAGATGTATATCTCAAAAAATATATTTAAACTGCAGATTATTCAATATGTTCAGACTGGAATCTGCCTCAACAGCCATTTGGTCTTTGAATGCATTCATACATTTTATTAATGTCTCTAATCAGTCTTATATTTTTGGGTGAGTGAGTTTGTATGTGTGAGAGAGAGATGTCTGTTTTCCTAGTGTTTGTATTTCTGTGAATTTGTTTTCTTAGGAGATAAAAATGCCATTCAATAACTTCCATTCTTTGTTAGGGTTATTTACACGCAAGAGTTTTAACACAGTCTGCTTTTGTTTATTTTCTTCCCATTTTATGAAAATTGTCTAGTTTCATTTTTATCAGACAAATGTGAGCTTTTCAATGATGTGATATTTATTGTCAGTGGCATTTTTCACCCTTCATAAAAGGTGCTTGGTTCGTTTTGTACAGAACTGTTTTTCATTTGTGTTCAATGTTTTGTAACTGTGTCAACCTGCAACGATGTCAGAGTATGCCGTCAGCACAAAAAGATGTAAAATTTAAGACAGTTTTGTATGAGTATAAAAATCCTTACATTTCCTTTTAAAAGAGGAAAAATTAAAGAATGTTTCTTAGTAATTTGTCTCTTGGACTTCTTTAGCCTTGGAACTTGAACAAAGTTTTATTTTTTTAAACATTAAATGTTCATAATTAAAATAACTCTTCAAAATTATTTTTTTTTTTTATTAGGGAAAAATAAAAGCAATTTTAAAAAACATTTTTGGTAAAAAAATGTTTACCTTAAAAAGAAATAAAATTCCACTTAATTTAATCTCAAAAACCTAATATTAAAACAAGCGAACACATCTGGCAAGACAGCACTGTGGCAAATTAAACAGTCTCCCTGTTTTGGGGAAAAAACCACTTTGGACCAGCAGGTTTTTTTTTTTATTATTTGAGAATAAAGTCAAATTGAAGTTATAAAATTATAAGAAAAGTAGTGTTGCACCGATACCAGTATCAGGTGGGGCCCCGATACTACACCAAAAATTATGGTATTGGCGAGTACTAACAAATAGGGCACCGATACCATTTTGAGAGTGACAAAGCCATGATGGCAATTTTATATCCAAGTAGTATGCAGTTCTTCATATATACACATCAATTTACAACGGATGGTATCGGCCGATACTGCACAGCCAGGTTGGGGGGCCAAAAAAATGGCATCAGCACAACACTGATAAAAAGTCCCATCATTACAAGAATAAAGTCCTAAAGTGGACTCGGGTTGCTGTCTGTTGTGCTGGTCGGAGCTTGAAGCTTTCTTTCTGAAATGGGTTGTGGTATGATTCTCCTATTACTTTATTCTCATATAAAAAATAAAAAAAAATCTCTAGCCTGAACCTAATACTCCGTAGATTGAGAAGTCATGAAGTTATTTGTAAAGACAAGGAAACCTTCACCCCTCTTGACAAAAATCCTACATCAGGGAACCATATTTTATATATTTTTTTTTAGCTCTAATGACCTTTATTTGAAAGTGAGCCAAATATATGTCTAATCGGGTAAGTGTCATACCTGAGTTGGCTGACAACCTTTAGCTTAGTTAATTTTGGTGTTTAATTGGATCTCAGACTGCAATAAAGTGGCCCCCTGGGTCACATGACTCATTCACAATAGGCCAGTAGATCCATATATTGACCTAAGAAAAACTTTTACTATATCTCAAATTGAGCTAATAATTGGGTCAAAAGTTACTGTAGCTTTAACTTAAAAAACAAACAAAACAAAAAAGATGGAAATAAACTTAAAGGTGATGTGATGTCAGTTTTAACATCTCCTGGTGGTTATTTATTCTCTGATGAGCTCTGATAGGTTGATGTAAATGTATCCTGATAAATATGTAAAGAAGGGTCCTGCCCTCACAGAGAAAGTCTGCAGATATCACTCTTGTTGATTCAGGTTATCTCCTGGATTGATTCTCCATTTTGACTTCCAGAAAACATAAACCAGGATGATCAGAACTTGTGCTGCTAAAAGAAGAAAAGAAAGAGGGTTAGCAATATTTAACATTTTAAAATAAAACGATACCAGGGACTGTAGAATGTGTTTTGTTTTTTTTAACCTGGTGTCCTCGAGCAGCAGCACCACAGACATGGTCCCGTCTGGTAGGGAGCGGAAAACTTTACTCAGCCGGCGGTCCAGCTTCTTCAGGAGACTTGACTCCTGGTCCTACATGGGAGATAAATTGGAGCCTTGAAGATGTGCTGAACACGCTACATAACTGCACCAATACAAAGAAATACACCTGGCAGTGATTAACTATGTAGGTGCCCCAGATTGGATTCAATCCTCCTGAGTCTGAGCTACCACAGCTGGAATCCTGATGGGTCTACAAAAAAAGCTGGACTGATTAAAGAGTGTTGTTTGACTAAGGTTTAACATGAAACTACTACATTTATGAGAAAAAAAGTGCATAAAGGTTTGAAATTGGGAGAACCAGTAACAAGGAAACATTCCTAAGCTGTCATTCTCAGATTAAACTTCTGTGTGTGTGTGTGTGTCTACTTTTAAGGCTAGGCTTAAAACCTTCCTTTTGATAAAGCTTTATAGTTAGAGTGGCTCAGGTTATCCTGAGCTATCTCTATAGTTATGCTGCTATAGGCTTAGATTGCTGGAGGACATAGGGGCACGTTTTCATCAATCTGCTTCATTCTATCTCTATTGTCCCACTCTGTAGAATTTGTTAGTTCAATCTCTAATGTTATGGTCTCTTTGCTTTTACTCATAGTAGCTTCATGTGGTCTGTTCCTGTTTGGATGTGACACCATCCTGGAGAGAAATATCCTTTGTTTATAGATGTTGGAGCTTGTCTGTTTTTCAGTGTAGTCCTATTTCTCTGATTGTGACTAACTGGATGCGCCTGTGGAGCTGGTTAACTGTTGCTTTTGTATCTCTGCTTCTTTCTGTATGTCTGTTTCTGTCTCCTTGAACCCCAGTCAGCCTCGGCAGATGGCCACTCACACTGAGTCTGGTTCTTCTGGAGGTTTCTTCCTGTTAAAAGGGAGTTTTTCCTCTCCACTGTCACTACAAGCATGCTTATTGTGAGGGATTGCATTTGAGTCAATGAGTCGATGCAATCAACTGTTTTTCCTTAGATAGAAAACTTTGAATCAATTTGACTGTATGATCTGGTGAACTGTAAAGAGCCTTGAGATGACATGTGCTGTGAATTGGTGCTATTGAAATAAACTGAATGTTCACTCCGACACAATCCGGTCTGTACCTGAAAACCACCATCAAAAAAGTCCTCCACTGTCTCCTCTTCTTCCTGCTCTGGTTTACTCTCGGTCATCAGGCCAATCCATGACAGCAGGTGGGGTGGAGTTATGGACGGCCATACTAGATAACTGTCCTCCAGCAGACGCCCAGAGGAGGCGAGCGCAGCGTGTTTCCCCTCAGCATCTTGAAACTCTGTCAATCAGGTGGGGTCAGGTTGTTAACTTTCTCCTGATCTCCATATGTTCACACTCAGAAACACAGAGTTTACTCACCTATGTATGCATGAATTGCACGTTTTGCAGGTTTACCAGGCAGACTGATGCTCCTTATTGAACCAAACATACTGAATGTCTCTCTGACACTCTCCTCACTCAGTTCAGGTTTGGCTGAGTGAGTATGTTTACCGTTTATTTGAGCGGTTTGTGGCAAGCCGTTCATCGGTCTACCAGGCGGTAAAGCTGAAGAATTAGCATCTGACAGACATCTGTTAAGCTTTGCAGAAATGTTGAGCCCCTGAGCCACATCATGTCTCAGTTTAACAACATAAAGACGATTGGTGTTAAGTTTCTCACTCATTAAAGTCTCAAGATTCAAATCTAAGTCCAGCATTGATTTGTTTACAGGCCTCTGCACCTGAAAAAAAAAGGCAAGAAATGTATCTATTTGTGAATGAATACAGAAGCTTTTGGATGGCTGCAGTCGTAAGAGAAGTTAATTTAGAATAAGCTTTACTGGCAGAGAATAAACAGACATTACCGGTAGGTTTAAATCTAGAAACTTCAGAGGAAGAGGAAGAAGGAGGTCCCACCTTGATCGTCTGACCTAGCACACTGAGTCCATTCAGCACTTTTAAAGCTAGCACCGCTCCTTCCAGCATCCAAAACTCCACCTTTGCATGGTTCTGGAGAATAAAAATGGTAAAAACAAGAAGGTGAGGTGATCCTTAACAGTTTCAGAGACGGTGGAAGATTTTATGATGCAACAAGAACCACATTGCTGCAGGAGAATAACATGATACTAAAATATTAACCTTTAAATTTCTTTATTTGAGAAAATCTTGATTTTACCAGAAAAATCGCTCTGCCCCTGATGTTCCCTACCATACCTGCCAATCAAACGTTTGGTTTCTGCTCCAGTATTTCACAAGGTTGGAGGAAACAGACAGATAATTCTCCTGTCAAGTCACGCTTTAGTCTCTTCTGCTCAGAGCGATTGAGTTTGCAGTGAAGGAAGGAAGATTTTCTTTTTATCTTTCTTCCTGTTACTTTAAATGCACTTTTTCTCATTAAATCTTTTGTATTTCTTATCAGGTTATGTGGGCATGTTTTTCCTTTTTCCTATTTTGGGGATTGTGTTTATTTGTAGAAGTTTCTATTTCTTTCTATTATATATATATATATAAATCCTTTTTGTCATTTAAATATTGTTTGTATATTAATGTTGGCTATATCCTGTTTAAATGTGACTTGTTTTATATGTGAGATGTAATAAATATTATAAATTCTTCCTTGTTTTGCCTTATTGCTGCTAATATGCCTCAATTTCCCCATTGTGGTGCGTTAAAGGATTCTAATTATTCCTTGTTTGTAAAAGATTTATAAATCTAAGTCTAGAAATTACTTAAAGGTATAGTGGAGGGTGTTCTTTTTCTGTGTGGATCATCAAAATAAGTGCTCCTCCTAATTGTCAATCATTCTGGTGATATGTTTACGTAAGGCCGTCCTACATGCTCCTCCCCATTTTAACTTATCAGTGGTGAGACTGGCATAGTGGAAAATTTGCAAATCTTATTTTGGAAAGTAAGCTTGTAAGAGTGATGCAAACAGCAACTTTTAAACCGAGCATGCACGAGGAGAAATGGGCTCCTGCTTGCTCTCACACACATTTAATATAAAAATTCTCAAAAATCCTCCACTATACCTTTAACATTACATTTTTATATTTGTGATTGTAGCAGAGAAAATACGCCTTCACAACCAAACATAGATAATGTCTGACGGTTTTCACCCAGTGAGATTAAAGGACATTTGTTTACTTCCTGTTAGCTGGTGGACTAATATGGATCCTCATCTTTTATTTTAACATCACAGCTTTTAACTGTTGCTATGGGGAGTTTAGGTAAGAAGCTATTTTCTTGCAGCCAGTTCCTGAATGGAGAAAAATATACATGTGCATTAACTTTGATATTCTCTTATCTGTCCCATTTTGAGGAGTAACCAAGATATTTAGGTCAGAAATGATGGAACTAGGAAAAAAGATAAATGATATGTGTTTCCATTTTATGGAAATGTTTGAGTCTTGTTTGAGATTTCAATAATTTTGTTGCATACTATTTTATTTAAAACAATTATTCCTCAAAGCATTTTTGTCTGCTCTGCTACATGAAAAAAGCTGGATTTTTCTTTTTTTGTGTGACACAATTTTAGCAGTAAAGGGTTTGTTTATTTTATTCATCTTTAGCAGCAGGGTCATTTAATTTAAATGTTACATGATGAAAATGAAACCAACCCTGACACTTGTGCTCAACATTTGGACTCTCCGAACCGGCCCGCAGCAAGAAAACATCCGCTTGACATCTCTTTTGGAGAAACCTGCAGGGAACGGCCCAGCAAACACTGCACACATCTCTCCAAGGTTTGCACACATCTGCAGGTTAAAACATGTCAAATGTTACACATTTCCCACCTTTTTCCCCAACAATAACATCCATATAACACTTTAAAAACTCACATTGTTATACAGCTGCGGCTGATTAGCTGAGCGTCTTTTCAGATAATTGTAAAAGGAGGACAACTGAACGACGGAGAGGAAAGGGTGCTTGGTCTGCTTTCTGAAAGATGACACTATCTGCAAAAGGAAGAAATAAAGAAAATAGATCAAAATAGAATACAGAGTGACTGATAAAATGATGGTCTGCAGCAATGTGAAGCTGCAGACCTTCATTTTATCAGTTCAAGTTGCCCAGAAAACAAGGACATGTCTAATTAAAAGACAGCGGCTATACACAATAAAGGAGATGATGGTGGTTCTTCTGACATTAAAATTCAGGCAACTTTTCGAATTCTCACCTCTTTGTCAGAGCTGTACCAGCACTGATGAGACAGATCCAGAGCGACGTCAGCTCGCTTTCCGAAATATGCTGGGGAGCGGCCGGTTGTCTGCAAAATGTCTGCAAACCTGTGAGAAGAGTTCGAGAAAGCTGAAGAAAAAAAACTGAGGTGAAGAAAGCTACAGAGATGAGCCAAATGTTTTTCATTTGTCCTTTTTTATTGATACAGAAAGAGGAACAGCTCTGAAATGGTTCTTCCTCTGGCGTCAGCATACAGAGATTGGTTTCTACCAGCTGTTAATCAGATGGTCGGTCTAGAGCTACTAAATGTAGGATATTTGTGTTAAAACTAAACCTGTTTGGTTCATAGTAACTTGGTATGCCCAGCTGCAGGATTTTAATGCAAAATTACATGAAATCAATATCACCTCATCAAAACTTTAATACAACATCAATTGATATTTTCCCACATTTTTGAGAATCTTAAAGGTTTTCTTGTTTTTCTGCTCATTTTCTGTTGAGAAATCCAGCTGGCAGAGAGGGTAGGCTGCTATCTGCCATTTTTTAAGCATTTCCTAACAAACTTTAACAAAGACCATTGGTAGCTGGAGCTTAGTGAGAGAATGAGAGGATGATACAGGGTGTGTCCTGACCAGCTGCTGCTCTGTCTGGTAAGGAGCCTTCAAAGCCCACGTTATTTATGAAGCACATTAAAAACAGACAGCCCTGACCAAAGTGCAGAAAAACAAGAATGATTCAAATACATCAGCAAATTAATTTTAAACAAATAGTAGAAATAGAATTGAAGTAAAAGAGTTTGTACTGTCTTCTCTGTTTGCTACAGACAGATGCAGTGGGTTCATTAACTTTGTTTCTGTTTTTAAACATTTGATTCCGTTAAAAAACCTAATATGTCTCAATGTTATCTGATGTTAGACTCAATTGTGCACATAAATGTAGCACAAAAGTTGGGACATTAGTATTTTTTTTTTTTTTATAGCAACAATGCCTCTTGAGAGCAAGTCTTATATTGTTGTTGGTTTCCTTTTAAATTGTGCTACAATTGCAAGGAAAATGCATTTCAGGGTAAAGCAGCAGTTCTACAATGATAAACACCTTTTTGCGGCGGCAGTGTGCTGGTGTTCCTCACTGGGAACCCCCGACCCGTCAATGCAGGGGGATGTGGAGACGTAATTCAGTGTTGGACTGAATTAAATCCTCCAAGATGGCAGAATTGAATATGTGACTACCTCTAGTATATATATATATACCGTATATATATATATATATATATATATATATATATATATATATATATATATATATATATATATATATATATATATATATATATATATATATATATATATATATATACTAGAGGTAGTCACATATTAAATACACATATACTGTCGAAGAGCAAACTGCCATCCCACAGCACTGACAGTTGTGACCGTTCACAGCTCTGAGGACCCTTTTGGTTAAATAAATGTTAAAAGACCCAGAATTCTTAATTTTTTTAACTTAATACCACCAATGTAATAACAAAAAGCAAAACAAGAAACATGAGAAAACAGCAGATAAGGCTGTTTGGCAAAGACCTACAAACTAAACTCTGCTGCCTGACCCCTGAACACAGATACAGATCAACAGATTTCAGGCCTTTTATTGTGTTCTCAGCCTTTGTGAGAGAAACGACGGCAGTAAAGTTTACCTGTAGCTTGGTGTTGGTGCAGGTGTGCTTTTAGGAGACTCCTCCTTTAGTTTGTATCCCCACAGCTCCTCCAGATGAAGCTCCACCACCTGGAGGTGAGCAGAAAGGGAATAACGTGTTTAACGTGTGTAAGAGTGCGGGTCTCTGCACTTTCATCAGGGGACCCGTTACCTGACGGGGTCCTGCTTTGATGAAGTACTGGGCTAGCTCCAGTGCTGCCACAGCGTCCTCAGTGGGATTATGACCGCTCCTTTCCTCGCTTTGGATCTGCCTCCTGTGATGTGAGTGAAAGAATAAATAAATCCCGACTCTGTGCGGCAGAAACTCAGAGGCGGTAAACAGGAACTCACTTCAGCACCGCCTCGGCCAGAACCTTTAGCTTAAACTTCTGTCCAAATTCTCTCCTGTACAGCAGAGAGGTATCAATCACATGTTGATGGATGAGCTGATGTTGGGGAAAAAAGATAAAATGGTTTTAAAGCCACAATTTTTATGAATGTTTTGTGTCAATCATAAAATAAATCCTCCAAAAATGTCTATATAAAGCAATAAAATATAATTACGGTGAATCTTTGACAAGCAAAATATCTGCCTCCTATTATAGTGACTGCATTGCTCTATTTGGGCTCATTTATTTAACACATCAGTCCACATGGGGGGTTGAGAGGAAAGAAACATAGTCTTAAAAAATAAATAAGGTTGTAGACTTTGATGATTAAGATAAAAAAAATAAATTAGTTTTAAAGCACCATATTGCTCCTTTTTTTTCATTTAAATTCTGTAGTGAAAGGACGAACAAGAAGCCTAAAATCTCAGTGACTTACTTTCAGTGCGACGAGATCATTGTTGAGGGAATGGCCCACCACTACTGCATTGTCCGGTAACAGCGTCCTGATCTTAGCCTGAACGTCCCGTAAGGTGGTCGTTACCGGCCTCAACATGGCTGCTGTGATACCTGAGAACCTGAGAGGGTAAACAAAATCTAATTCCACCTGCAATATAAACAGTTCAGAGTGTTTATGGATAGATGTGTGCGTCTTACTGTGTAAGGTAGTTGAGAACACGGTTTTGAGGTTTCACCAGATCATCCAGCACACAATTACCATCACTGTCCACCAGGGAAACGCGAGCCAGCTCATATCCTTTCTCTGTCAGACACTGAAACATGAACATGATGGATGGATGGATGGATGGATGGATGGATGGATGGATGGATGGATGGATGGATGGATGGATGGATGGATGGATGGATGGATGGACTCACCATTTCACAGTCCAGTCCATACAGCGGGCTCTGGTCTGTTACACACACATCGCTGCCTGTGCACAAAAAGTCCTCGAAACCTGGAAATCCTGAATTAAATTAAGGAGGAGAAAAGATCAAAAGTAAGAAAGCAAACATTAAAATCACATCTTCTTACTGGGCCGGATAAACAGACAGGTACCTAATAACATTACTAGTAGCATATGAATAAAAGACAAAACAATAAAAAACAAAACAATAAAAAAAAACAACAAAGATCGAGCAATACCTTGAGTAAAATACACTTTGTTAAACTATAGCCATGGAAAAAAAAACATAAACAATGAGAGACAAGTCGAGGAGTTATGCCTCTTTCTAAAAGATTCAGTTGGAGACTTCCCTTCTATTTTTTAGATGGCAAAATGTATTTTAATTTTATTATAAAATAAATTCAAATAAAAGTATACAAATTGTAGGATTAAAATATGTTTTTTGTCATCAACACGAACAACTAATTTAGTTCTAATTACTGAATTTAGTTCTAATTTACATCTTTTATGAAAATTGTGTGCAGTTTCCTTCAAATCTATTGACTGTATTATATTTACTTTTATTATTTGTGGTGTTAATTCATTTTAACCTTTATTGTATAACCTTTGTTTGTTTAAATAAGACAAATTACGTTTTGCCCAGAGACAACTGATGAAAAATACCCTTACAGCTGATTCTAGCTCATCTATAGATTATCAATGAATGTGCATTGTCCCTATAAAATAAATAAATCTAATGTGATGCATTTTTACCTTTGACTGGATAGCGGTTCTTTATCAACTGCTGTTGGCTCAGAACATATGCAGTCAGTCCTCTCCTCTTTGTGCCAAATGTAGTGATAACTGGATGGTGCCTCACAGCTGGGCAGAAACACACATGAAGTTCATTAAGGGAAGAATTTGCTGAGTTAAACACTGAAAACACTGAAGGAAAAAATATTTCTGGATAAATTCCACAAACACTTCAACATTGAAGGTTCACCTCTGACCTGTATGAAGTGTCTCCTCTGGTTTAGAAACAGATGAAAAGTCCATGTTTGGAACTTCGCAGCGGAAGATCTCTGAAGCTACATTGTTAGATGATGGTGTGAAGGTAACCCTCTGTTTTAAACAAATATAAAACAATTGAAACTGATTTTAGTGTATCATTATATTAATCCCAGCAGTCCATTTCCTCTCCCTACTGTTTCTCACAGTTGTGTAGCTTGTCCTAAGGTGCTCCATTAAGAGGTAGTGCTTGTAGAAAAGACTCTGCGTCACTCCCTCCACAACGACAACATTTATACCGCTGACATTCCTTTGATGGTGGACACGACACCAGCTGATGTGAAGGAGGGCAGAAAAACACAATGTAAGTATGCATGAGTCGAGCACAGACCCTTTTATATTTAGCTGACAAACGGTACCTAGGCTGTTTGATGCCTGCTGCTTTCCCCAGGGCAGCAAAATGAAGCAGCTCCATTAGCTCAGCCAGTGTGATTGGCTGCTGCAAACGATCGAGGCAGACCGAGAGCCTCGCTGAATGACGAGGCCTTTCCTGGAGAACTACTCCCTCCTCAGTCTTAAATCTTTTGATGCCCTCATCTGCAGCTGGAGCCTCATTTTTTCTTTTCTTTTCGCCACATGTAACTGATGGAGACGGGGAAGCCTTCATGGTTAGGATGATATTTCTAAAGAGAAGGAGAGATATTAAAAACATGGTTAAAACGTTCTTGGTTTGGGTTTACTGGAGATGTGAACAGTTTCATGACTTTCAACACCAGTCATGGAGAAACAAGAGCACATTTGCTGTTCATATTAGCTCCAGATTCTTCAATTCAATTCAATTCAATTCTGTTTATTTCTATAGCGCCAATTCACAACACACGTCATCTCAAGGCACTTTACAGTTCACCAGATCATACAGTTAAATTGATTCATAGTTTTCTATTTAAGGAAAAGCAGTTTATTGCATTGACTCATTGACTCGGATGCAATCCTTAACAAAGCATGCTTATAGTGACAGTGGAGAGGAAAACCTCCCTTTTAACAGGAAGAAACCTCCAGCACAACCAGGCTCAGTGTTAGCGGCCGTCTGCCAGGGCCGACTGGGTAAATGAATGCAATTGATGAATTGATCAATGTTATAAAAGCTCTATAAAAGCTGTTTTGTTTTGCTGTTTGTTATTCTGGAGCATAAAAGTTAGTAGGTTGGAAATGCTCAAAAGAAAAATAAAGAAAAACATGTTATTCGCCTGTTCCTCAGGTTAGGGCAAAGTAGAAAATTCAGCATAAAAATCTAATTCTTCTAAGATTTGCTTTGCTGCTACAGGACTTTGTCACTTTGCAGTCACTGCGGTGAAAGGACATATTCTGTATACCAACATATTTTAAAGTAAAATAAGTGGCCATCTGCCCAACAGATCAATCTTGGCCCAAAACAGGTTATCCACAGGAGAAATATACACTGCAGAGCAGTAAATCTGTACACAAATAGTTGAAATAGAAAGCATCGGGCTCCCTCAAAGGTCAGAACTACATCAGATTGAAATGCAGCATGGGACTTTGTTGAAGAGCAGAAGAAAATAAATACTGATGTATTGAAGCACATTTTTTAACAGAAACCAGCTTTATTGGCCAAAATTTAGAGCAGAAATAAGGGATCTGGCTTTGGTTTGCAGCACCCACAGCCCACATAAGTTAAGTGAAATATATATATATATATATATATATATATATATATATATATATATATATATATATATATATATATATATATATATATATATATATATATATATATATACACATATATTTATATATAAAATAGAGAAATAAAATAAAGAACTGAAGGGAAACACACATGTAAGAAAGAGTGGTCAAGGTTTTAAAAATGAATTATTTTAGAACACAACTTCTTTTTTTAAACTGATAGTGTATAAAGTGGTTCTACAAGTATTGAATCATAGTGTTTCCTTTGCACATGCATTCCAAACACTGATGATCTAAAATAGTTAGAATCTAAGCTTGTTCCACTATTATTTGTTTTCAGGATTTTATTGTTTGTTTGATATTAATAATGACAAATTTAGAATTAATAATGCAGCCAAAAAAGAATAGAAATTTAATTTACACTGTTCAAAAATAGCAGAAATCGTAGGACTTTTACGTACCATATCAATATTTACAGAAATGTATGTGCTTAAATATTACATTTAGCAGCCTATTCGTTTAACAGGCTCCGTACTCTGTTTTTAGCCCAGTTTAAAACCAGTTTAAACGGACATACATAATTTTCCGAGTTTTGAGACACTGGTGTGTACATTACCAGATGTTGAAGGTTTAGATGAATCCATTAGAATAGAAACACTTCCAAAAGCACGTTGTGAGATGTTGTTTACGGCCGGCAAGGAAAAAAGGGGACAACTTCTGGTTTATGCCTTTCAGAATAAAATGTCATTCCATTTTAAATTTACATTTACGGGACACTTCATTAGAATAATGGATAGCTACTCAAATATTACTTGATATAGGTTATTTTTAGATAAACCAATGTTCTTCATACCATACCTATTTGTTTAAACAGTGAAACTAATGTGCTTTTATTTTGGAATTGCTTACCGGAAGAAAATATGTGTTCCGGTGTTACTTTTTCCTGAAGCTCTGCGTTCGACTGGTCGGTCTTACAGAAGAAAGTAATCGACCTCCGAACGATACATTTATGTTTGAAAAACCAGCGGTATTTTTTTTCTGGTTGGAGTTTAGGTAGCAAAAAACTAATTTCTATTTTATTGTATTTTTAATTAATTTGCATCAACCGACTGACATGTCGACAAGAAAACTAGCTAAGTAAGTGAAATTAGCCTGTTAGCCACTTTGCAGCTACAACAACACGCTTCAAATACCAACATTTAGGGCAGCTACACAGATAAAACGCATTAAAGATAAAGGTTATATCTTAAAGAATTAATAGCTGGTTACATTTCATGTACATTTCACTGTTTTTCTGGAGTTGGACACTAAAATATATCACGAATGCCTGTAAATGAAAAAAAGGGGGGCCAGCCTAGATGTGGTGGGTTTCATATAAACTGTTTAGATGCAGTGAGAGTTCACACAGCTCACCAAATATTTTACTGACATGTGGAGCGTAAATCTTCATACCCTAAAATAAAAAAAAGAAGCTTTTAATTATTCAGTCGCCTTTTACTGCACACACATAAAAGGTATTTCTTGTGTTGCTTTGTCATACAGAATGTCTGTTTAAAATTAAAACATTTTGCCTTTATTCTTTATTTTAAAAGGAAATTAGGATTACTGAGGCAACGGAGTCAGTCTGCTCCTGGTTTAAAGAAATCAGGTATATCGAGTAAGTGTTTTTTTATTTTCTTCCATTTGCTTAGACTGCTGGTAAATAAGTGTTTATTGCTGCACAGACATTTCTCTCATAGATACTTGTTTCTTCCAGATCAGATATTTTCATACTTAATTGTGATCGACTTTGAGTCGACTTGCTGGAGAGAGAAAAATAACCACGGACAAGAAATCAGTAAGTATTTAGATTTTAATCATGTAGATTTGATATAGTTTCATTTCTGGTGTGTTTGCCATTGTAACTCTGAACCGGTCTCTTATTTCTTCCTCCCCCACAGTTGAATTCCCTGCAGTCTTACTGAACACATCCACAGGAGAGGTTGAGTCTGAGTTTCATACTTATGTTCAACCTCAGGAGCACCCAGTTCTCTCCGAGTTCTGTACAGAGCTGACTGGAATTACACAGGTTTCTTGTCACAGAAAAATCATTTACAGTTTGGAACATTTATGTAAACACAAATGTATGTGTATATATATATATATTAGGGCAAATTGCATTTGCAGTATAATTACAATTTAACAACACGCAACTCTCAAATCGCAGAGGCACTGATTTTAGTCACACTTTTATCACAAAGAGTAGGACACAAAAGTTCTTCCTCAGACCCTTTAGTTGTTGGTTAAACGCTGAAGTGGGTTTGACGCCACACAGAAAGGTAGAGAGAGTTGCAGCTGGCTTGCAAATGCTTGCACAGAAGTAGAAGTAAACAGATTCACACAATGGTTACGGTAAAGTCCCGTAAAAATGGACCCTGGGCAAACAAGCTCTAAAAAACTTAAAACCTTGAGTGAAATGTCTACAAGCTTGTAGTTAATACAAAGGAAAATTAATATAAAATTGCAATCTTGATGACAATCGGAATTAGGTTTTTGACAAAATCCCTCATTCCATATATGCATATAAATATAAATGGATATCTCATAGCTTGATTGTCTTTGTCAAACAGGGGCAAGTGGAATCCGGCGTCCCTCTTCAGATTTGCCTCTCTCGGTTCAACCGCTGGTTGCAGAACCTGCGGATGGAGAAGGGAGTGATGTTCCCTAACAATAAGCAGACGTCTTCAGCTTCTTCTCCCTCCCAAAAACTGTGCACCTTCCTCACGTGGTCAGGTAGCACCTATCCAGGCTGGTTAAGTCAGATTGAAAAATATCTTTGAACACATTTAACATGAGACTATCTCCGTTGTGTTTTCAGATTGGGATCTGGGTGTTTGTTTGCAATATGAGTGTAAACGCAAACAGCTTCATAAACCAGACGTGTTAAACAGCTGGATAGACCTAAGGAGCACATACAGGGTAGGTACCAGCTAATCCATTCAGTATATTTACCTTTGAGGATTTTTGCACTTTTAGTGCATTTTGTTCAAACTGCATTAAAATGTTTCAGATACTGTAGGCAATGTGTTACACTTACAGACTCACTCTTCAAGTTCATATGTGTAAATCTGGTAGATCTATTCATTCTATTGATGGGCATCTGTCAGCAGTCAGTTTAAACGTTTGTTTCCAGGATGGAGTTTGTCATGTTAACATAATTTACTCTTTTTTTTTTTTACTTCCTTTTCTGACCTTAAACAAATTTCATGTTTCCTTATGGGATATACGAGATCAGTATAAGGTCATATATATTCATACATTGCATTAAGAGAGGAGTTTATGATCGCCTTTAAAAAAAAATCAATAGTAATGATGATAAAATTAAAACAAACAGAGCTCTGGTATCGCCAAAGTAGCAGGATCTGAAGATTCAATATCAGAACTGGATTGGATGTTAAAAAGTGTGTATCACTGCATCGCTAATTACATTATTAAATAAGAGGACCATTTCTGGTAGTAAAGTTTAAAGCAGAATAGATTTTTTAATAGTATCCCGTGCTTTGACCACAGAGCACTGTTCAGGCCTTTATATAAAAAGGAAAGACATTGTCGTCGACATGTAAGATGGTAAGGAGAGGATGAATCAGAGAAGCTGCTAAAATGCTCATGATAACTCTAGAGAAAATATCAGATACACAGTTCAGGTGCAGAAATGTGTCACCAGGAAATCTGGTAGTCAGTGGAACAGTAGCAAAAGGAAAGCGCACATCATGAAGGAAACTTGGCAAAAATACACTGCAACCATTTTTTTTTTTCCAGGGAAAAAAAAAAAGATGAAAACCATTTTCCTTCTAGTTTACTATTATGCACTACTTGGTACTTTTATCACCTTTGCAAAGGGAACAGAATTTCTGTTTAGAGCTGTTTAAAACTAGGATGTTATTTGTTTTTTTTCCTGTGATAAAATAATGGATGTATTAAAACCATTTATTCATGTAGCTCTATCACGTCTTTATTGGATTCCAGCTCTTTTACAGTCGAAAGCCCAAAGGCCTGAATGGAGCACTGCAGGATCTAGGGATACAGTTCTCTGGGAGAGAACATTCTGGTACTGATATTTGGACATTTCTGTAGTTTTTATTTTTTATTTAAAACTACTTATCATATTACAGCATTCCTTCTCTTATTACATTTTTTTGTTTTTGTTTTTGCTTACAGGTTTAGATGATGCACGGAATACAGCTCGACTGGCAGCCAGAATGATGAGAGATGGATGTGTGCTGAAAATCACCCGAAGCCTGGAGAGGGTGAGTGGTCACCTGACGACGTCCTGAAAGAACAAAGACTCCTAAAATCACGCCTCGCATTCATGAGCAGGGACCTTGTACTTACAGCTTTTATTTTAAACGGATGTTTTTTTAATTTTAGTTGAATAACCAATAAACTGAATTCAGGAAATAAAATTAATGATTTTCTGCTCTTTCCAATTTTTTCCCGACAAATTTAGAGACTCTTGCTATAGAGAAGATCTTATATTCTATTTTTAAAATCCCAATAACAGGTCAGTGTATTTTATTATAGTTGGGGGAAATGGATGCTTTTTAGGTGTTCTGCAAATAAAAATAAGAAGAAAAGGTTGTATGGATTTGGATCCAGCTCTCCTGGTAGAATCTTAATCTTTAAGGTGGGTTATTCATATTTGTTGAAAATACACAAAAACAGATCGGATGATGATTGTCTCTAAAACATCATTGTTCTCACAGCTTCTCAATAACATCAAGTCTGCCACCTTTTTGTCGCTCTGGAAGCTAAATCTCCATTCAGTCTTTTTTTCCCAGCTTTAATTGTCCTTACACTGTCAGAGGTAAAGAGCAACAAAATTAACTCTCTGCATTTAACCCATCCCCTTGGGGATGCAGTGGGCTGCCACTGTGCAGTGCCCGAGGAGCAGTGTGGGGGTCTTTGTTCAGGGATCCAGTACGTGGGAGTGGGCCTTGAACTCAGGATTTCAAGCACAATGCCCTAACCATTAGGCCGCCACATTAGCAAGAAGGGTCTTGCCTAATGACCCACGCTGACAGCTCATTCCCCCCAGATGGGATACGAACCATCTGGGGGGAATATGTTTTCTGGACGGGTGAATTACCACTTGAGCTTGCCAGCCTCTACATTTTCTGAGTCTGCTTTTAGCTCTATTTATGTCCCTGTCAATTTTAACCAGCTGCCATGTTTCTGCAAAACGGATCACGTGTCGCCATAGTGACGACGTGCTCAGAGTGGTAGTTTTCCATGTGGTTCAATAACATTTTATATTGGTCCCATCGGAGCAGATTGCCCTCTTCCACACCTTTGCTGTCACAAACTAAACACTCTTCCATTTGTGGAGTCCAAAACAAATAGTTATCCTTTCAACAGTCCATCCCACCTGAGCTGGGGATCTCTCTAATTCCACTAGAGTCACTGTTGACCTCTGCTGCTTTTTCTGATTGTTTCTTAATCCAGCCAACCAGTACAGCTAGAAGGCCATGTCACCACAGGGTTGCAGGTTTAAAATTTTGGACCAAAGATCTACCTGAGAGGTTCAAAATGTGTGGATATAGTTTTAGAACCTGCTTCAAATATCTCCACACCTCTGTCCCTGACCTTTCTGTTCTCTTCACAGTTCTTCATCCACTAATCTTCATTAACAAACTGTTGAGGCCGTTACAGAACAGCTAAATTTGTACAG